GAGCATGCAGGAGAGAGATAGGCAGGGGAGGAACAGGGAGCATGCAGGAGAGGTTGGGGCACAAACTGAAAGGGGGATGAGGGGAGGAATAGGAGCATTCAGGAGAGACAGGGCCAGGAGCTGATAGGGGGAGTAGGAGAGAAATGAGGATCATGCAGGAGAGATGGGATCAGGAGCTGAACAGGGAGCAGGGGAATAACAGGGGAGGAACAGGGAGCATGCAGGAGAGGCTGGGGGACAAACCGAAAGGGGGGTGAGGGGAGGAATAGGAGCATTCAGGAGAGACAGGGCCAGGAGCTGATAGGGGGAGTAGGAGAGAAATGAGGATCATGCAGGAGAGATGGGATCAGGAGCTGAACAGGGAGCAGGGGAATAACAGGGGAGGAACAGGCAGCATGCAGGAGAGATGGGGGCAAGTGGTGATGGAGAGGAACAGGGGAGGAATGGGGAGCATTCAGAAGAGAAAGGGGCAGGAGCAGACGAGTGTTCTGGGCTAGGGACTTCAGGCCTTGACCCAGAGCTGAAGGCGGCACAGCTTATGGGACATTCTGCAGTTTCACTCCAGTTTCAGGAACATCAAGTTCTCCTCCATAAATGAGGTCTGGGCCAACCCGGAAATGGGGAAATGCCACATGACTCAGGGATGAGAAATGTGGGCTTGTTTGGGCATGACTGGGAAGTGAATCTGCATCCATCCAGGGAGGAGGAGGAGCACAGCCTGTAGGGCCCCAGGATGCCCCCAGGCAGACTGGCTGGCCGCTCGACAGACTCAAAAACGTGCTGCAGACCCCAGCGCAATAGTGCCACCTACCTGTGACGCCATCCTTGTTGCCTAGCAACCAGAAGTCATCCACCACACTCAGCACCTCGATGACATCGCCAGTAAAGAGGGGCAGCTCCTCTGACACGCTGGGGCGGAAATCGAAGATGGCCCGGACCACAGAGCCCAGCTCCATCACTCAGAATCTACTGGGGAGGAAGGGGGTAGCGGGAGAGACAGAGACAGAGGTGGGTCAGGATCCATACACGCACAGTGCTGAGATTAAATAATTTATGTGGTCTGAGAGGACCTGCTCCTCCACCAACAAAAAGCTGGCCTCTGTCCTCTAGCACAGATTCACTCCAGCTTGTGCGCAACCTACAGAGGCGCACCCTGAGCTCTCGGCTCTGAGAAGAGGCCCATCCAATCAGACTCCAAGCAGGATCACGCATGGCAGGAAATTGGCACATGCTGCAGTACCACATTCTGGCCACTAGTTTTGCTGGCTGAACACTAGCTTTGTCAGTATGGCGTAAACTTCATTCCTGGGAAGTTTAGGTTACACAATTCCAAGAAGAGAGAATATCCACACAGACACAAGTGCACACACACACAGACACACACACTTGAACAGCTGAACCCTCTTCCTTAAAGAAAAACAAGATAGACCTTCTCAGAGGCCAACAGGGACAGCTGGGCGTCAGACGGAAAGGAAGTGAAACAGATAGAGCCAACTGCCGCCAATCAGTGTGTCCTTACTGCAGAGTGGCAGTGTGCACGCATGTATCCGTCTGTATGTATGCGTGTGCCTTGCGTGTGTCTGTATGAGTATGTGTGTGCGCATCTGTCATTGTGAATGTGTTTGTGTCTCTGTATTTCTTTGTGTTTCTATGTATGCCTCTGTGTGTGTGTGTGTGTTTGTTTGTGTTTGTGTGTGAGCGGGTTTACCTATCCTTATGGGGACACAATGTCCCCATAACGTGATAAATATCCGTTTTTTTTCCCTTATGGGGACCGGTTTCCTAGTTAGCGGAAAGGTTGTCATAGTTAGCGTTAGCATTTTTCCCATTGAAATGAATGAGCGGTCCCCATAAGGATATGTTTACCTTACGTGTGTGTGTGTGTGTGTGTGTGTGTGTGTTTGTGTGTGCGCCCCCAGGAGATACAGCTGACAAACTCCCCCACCCGGAAACGTGAGCTGGGAGAGAGACAGAAGCAAACAAACAGCAGCAGCACACCTTAGTCTGGAGCTGTGCAGCATGTGTGGGGCATGGAAGGCAAGCATATGGGAACGCAAACCCGAAATGGGGGGCCGAGCACCAGGACCAACCTTTGGGGGGGTGGGGAGCATGGGCTCGATCCGCCCCCACAGGATCAGGTGACATGGCTCTTTCTGACGGGTGTCAGTTTTCACAACACACACACACACTGTTTGATCTGCGCCCTACACTATGGCTCTGAGTGTTGGGGTGGGGGCAGGAAGAGCTGGGGGGGCTCACAGACCAGGCACACCAACCACTGGTGACTGTGGTAACTAGTACTTCCTGCTCTCTGCTACAGTTAGTACTTCAGACTGGATAATCAGGGCCACATTGCAAAGGGCACACACTGTACATGCCGCACACAGCAAAATGTACACGCTGCACAGGGGATGCACTGCAGAAGGCACGCATGAGCCACAGTCACAGCTGATGGCAACAAAGTCCAGGCTTTCCTGCAGCCAGATGAAGCACCACTAAAGCGGTACCCATGGCGTGTCAGGCTGAGCAGAGCATACCCAGCATCTGTTAAGAAAGAGGAGTGCATGCCACTGTCTACCGCTGCAGGACGAGCGCGTGCCACCGTCCGCCGCTGCAGGACGAGCGCGTGCCACCGTCCGCCGCTGCAGGACGAGCGCGTGCCACCGTCCGCCGCTGCAGGACGAGCGTGTGCCACCGTCCGCAGCTGCAGGACAAGCGCTTGCCATCATCTCATCTTCCCACATGTTAAACCACCCAAAACTCTGTAATGTGCCTGTCAGATGAACTAACCTATGCTCCTCTTCCCACACTAGAAGAAAAGCCCTCCTAAAGATTATCACCACACTATAAAGCCCTTCGCCAAAGGCCAGCCGAGGCAGAAAGAGCAGACCATGGCTTTCGTCATCCAACACTACGGCCTGTTTCCAGGTTCTCTGCTTATGGTCACCCCCCATCCCTCACTGACCAAGGTAAGACATGCAGACATTCTCCAGGTCAAATTCCCTTCCAATGGGCCACCAGCAAATAACCCGATGGTCCAAATAAATGAGAACTAAACACTTCAAAAGCCTGAAGATACCAGGCCAACTGAATTGGAAATCCATCCATCCATTATCTGCTGCTTATCCGGGGTCGGGTCGCAGGGGCAGCAGTCTAAGCAGGGATGCCCAGACCTCCCTCTCCCCAGCCACCTCCTCCAGCTCCTCCGGGGGATACCAAGGCGTTCCCAGGCCAGCCGAGAGGTATGATCTCTCCAGCGTGTCCTGGGTCTGCCCCGGGGCCTCCTTCCGGCTGGACATGTCCAAAACAGCTCCTCAGGGAGGCATTCAGGAGGAATCCTAGATAGATGCCCGAACCACCTCAACTGACTCCTTTTGATGCGGAGGAGCAGCGGCTCTACTTCGAGTCCCTCCCGAATGTCTGAGCTCCTCACTCTTTTTCTAAAGGCCAATTCATACTTTACTTTTCACACACGTGCGCTTTCAGTTGCGGACGAGAGGACGTGGCGTAAATATCGTCATCAGGGGTTGTCTGTGGACGGCTGTAGTCGGTGTGCATGTAGCCCAGATTTTTACGTCTAGCGTAAAATGCGTCGACTGCACATGTGCAAGGTAACTGACCAGGTGTATCCAGTAAGTGGCATGTATGTAAACACTGTCCTTTCAATTTGTTCAGCTCAAAACAAATATCAAAAATCTGTTCAATATTAATGATACATTACTACAGAGCCCCTAGGAGGTCGGGGTGAAAACACATCAGCAGTAACTACACCTGACAGCTGGGCTACTGAAGGTGAAGTGGGCACACAAACCTCACCTTAGGTTTATCCATGCCGTCACGTTGCAGGAAACAGCAAGTGGGCAAGAGCAGTGGGAGCACATGAACTAAAGCGAGAGAAGGCACCCTGACCCCTTAGGCGCTCTGTATATTCCACTTATGTCTTATTATTGATTTCTACCCAAAAATCATATTTTATCACAAGAATCGAATAAGACTTTCAATGACAAGCGTGATTGGGCAGAAGTAAATATTAAACATATTGACGGTCCAAACTGACATCAGTTAAGTAGTTTTACAAATCAAAGTTATGTTTTTATTGTTTTAAAAACCCAAGACGACTTGAAACTTGCGGTTATAAATCGTATCTCATCCTGCTTCTGCATAAGTTTCATTCAGACCTAGGAGATGACATCTGCCCTCTGCTGGTCTGGAGGATCATTACAGTACACATGCACCGACCGGAACCATCTACATCCACAGTAGGAACACAAGCTGCTGTGTGAACGACCGTCCTCAATCCTCAAAGTAGGTCTTCCTATAGTGTATAACCTCTGTATCCACAGAGGAGACTACTCCCCAAACCTCCGACCTCCATCTCCATGGAGGACAGCACTGTTCTGCTGCAAATTCAGCATGGTGAGAACATCAGCGCCACCTACAGGCCAGGGCCTGTCTGTGAAGCTGAGAAATGATCGCATTCAGATTCTTGCCCGATTTGGTGGGGAGCCCTGAGCTGCTGTTTTGCAGTCATTGGAGATGATGATCCCACACGGGGCAACAAGCAGGGAATAGACACACATTTACTGTCTCTTCGCCGACTCCATCCTGTTCTCCATGAGACACACATGCAGGTGAGAGCACAGCGTCAGCCAGCGTGCAGCACCGCTGGGGCTGGGGGGGTTAAGGGCCTCGCTCAGGGGCCCAACAGCGGCATCAGCACAGAGCCGCACACGGCTGCGTCTGCGGCCTTCGCATACAAGCCAACAAATCAGGAAAGTAGAGGCTAATTTCTACTTGTTTCCGCTTGTGCTTCCAGTTGCAGATGAGACTAAGGGACGTAAACGTCATCATCAGGGCTTGGCTGCGGATGGCTGCGCTCGCTGTGTGTTTAGCGCAGATTTTTACCTTGTGCATCCGTGCTAAAATACTCTGGTATGCTTTATTACCGTAATACCGCCCAAGCCTTGACTAATTACTTTAAAACTGTTAATGTTTACTCATTTCACTACACTACCTGTATTTGCATTTGTTGATCTGCCCTCTCCTGGTCTGATGGAGTATCACTGCTGCATGCAGCACCGACCATCACCATCCGCTTCCACTAAATGTAGTGTGACCACAAGCTTCCGCGTGAACGACCACCTCCAGCCCGAGGTGTGAAGGACAACGAGCGGTGGGGGTCAGCCATGTGCCTAAGACAGCAGGCAACTTGGCATGCTTTCCATTATAGTGACCTGAACACGACGGGCCGTGCAGCACGGAGAGGAGACTTGCACAGTGACACACACACACACACACACACACACACACACAGTTGTTCCAGGGCTGATGGCCCTACAGTGACAATGCAGTGACAGTTGTGTGACAGACACAGTGGGAGGAGCCCATATATCCCCTTGGGCACACACACACACCACGGTGACAGGTCATGGACACCCAGCGTGTGGCACTGCACCCCAGGCACAGCACAGCCCAGCCCAGCACTGCACCCCAGACACAGCACAGCACAGCCCAGCACAGCACCCCAGGCACAGCCCAGCCCAGCCCAGCACAGCACCCCAGACACAGCCCAGCACAGCACCCCAGACACAGCCCAGCCCAGCCCACAATGAGCACAAGCCACACACACGACAGCACAGACAGATGCACATCAACCGATTGGCTGCAACCAGTATGTGTGCAGCCTTGGCTCCGTGTGTGAGTGTGTATATCTGTGTTTGGGGGGGGGGTCTGTGTGCACGCACATGGGGGCTAATCAGGGGGATGGGGAGCAGTTTCGAGAAGCCAAAGCACGAGTAACCGGATCAGCTGACGGCCTGCCTGCAAATCCTCTGGAAGGTTCCACACAGCCGTGCTGTCAATGCTGCTTGCCTGTTATTTTTCTGCCCCTGAGCACTGGCCTCGGCACCCCCAGGGGGGCACATTTACATCATCATCATCATCATCGTCATCATCATCATCATCATATGGCCAAATTTTAGAAATATGTGTCCTAAGGCAGATATCTGGCAACCAAAGAAAGCAGTGCAGTACCTGGCAACCCAGAAACAGTATGGTCAATCAGGACCATTGCTCCATCTATCTACAGTCCCCAGGCTGAGACGAGCCCTCCTCTGGGTTCCCTGGGGGGTGTCATTATACCCTGAAGCCCCCCACCCCTGAAAATGCACTATTCCTGCCCAGATAATGATACATTCCCATCAGAAGAGAGAAACGCAGCTCACATACAAACACAAAAACCACGTCTGTATCCCATTAGCTTGTTAGCATGCAGTGGGAACGCTGTGAGTCACATGGCAAAATGCCCCCCACCCCCAGAGGTCGTAGGGTGGCCGGGGTCCTCCTTCAGGCCAGCCGCCCGATGACATCAAGTTGCCATGGTGAATCTTAACAAAACACACGTGGTCATGTTCGTCCAGAACATTCCATCTTAAAACATTTTAAACCCCACAGAGGGAGGTTTGCTAATTTCTCAGCAAGCGCAGGGGAAGCCCAGCAATGCTCGCTGAAGCATACACACCCACCAGCCCATAGCGAGTTCCAGAAAGATCTCCACAGCTGTATGAAATAAAAGTCAGATGGTAAGAACTCTACTCCCATTCTGCTTGTTCAGGGTGCTGGGGCTGATCTCGTGAGAACGCAACTGTGGCAGGACATCGTCACAGCCTGAGAGTGACAGAGACATCTGGGGAGCAGCAAACGGACTGGCCCCTGATGCCCCGTGGCCACCACCAGTCAGCACTGGTAATTCTTACATAAACAAGCCCAAAAAGCATGTATGTATTTCACAGATAGAAGGCAGCCTGGAGTCATTAAATCTAGAGCCAATGGTGCGACAAGCTACTGGCGGAGCCCCGCCCACACTCTCCTCTTGCACCAATCGGCACGTAGCAGGAAACATGCCAATGGGGCCGCCACGCCTTGCCATCGCCAACCTTCACGCTCTCGGTCGCCGTTCCGCACAAAGGGCAGGCTCATGGCGTCATGCTTATTTAGCAGATGAGTGAGGGCGAGAGTGTAGGGTCAGCCGGCTCCGGGATCACGTGCGGTTAAGGGCCGCGCTCGAGGGCCCGAGCGTGACATCACTCTGCAAGACACAGGATTTGACCAAGCAACCTCCCAGTTGTCACTGTAGGGCCTCCCAAGTGCTGACCCACATAGGCAAGCACCGCCCCAGTTCAGGGAGCCGTGCGCTTCAAATATCACCACACTGACACCAAGTGCTGAATTATTTACCCCCTACCTGCCCCCGCTTTGCTACAGCCGAGCTGCCCCAGACATCGCCATTCATGGGAAACGCACCCCCCCGTAGCAGCGGCGATGGCTGGGAGGCGTACAGAGCACCCTTGTGTCCTGGGCAAACGTGGGTGAGGAGGCCGCGTGGGTCCCAGCGGGCCTGAAGGGCGGCCTTTGTGTTCAAGTCACCCCAGTGGTTCCGCTGGCACGGCCACAAGTAAATAACTCAAGTACACTGAGCACGCAAGCAGCGTGACGTACCACAACATCACTGCTGAGCAAACTGCCAGCGAGCAGGGCTTCCCGGGGCCTTCCGGAGCCTGGCTGAGCGCCCACAGGGGCAGCACAGCCCAGAGCACTGCACTCGAGCACGATGTGGAGTCACTGACAGGGCATGGACACAGGACGAGGCTTCAGCTTACAGAGAGCAGCTGTGACAGGCTGCTCTGACATCACGAGCTCCCAGCTGACCATATGCCTGCGGAATCCTGCCATAGTGACTTAACCACATGTAAGTACTGAACAGCTATCAGACAGTTGCCAGGTCACTGATCAAAGCTACACTATTAAGAGTTAAATGTATATTTTTTGGGGGTGGGGTGGAGCTATAATCAGATATAAACATTGTTTGTTATTTACAAAAGCACACAGGCAGTTAACGCTACCAGCTGAAACAGATCGGCACACTGAAATAACGGACTGGGCCATCACACAGACTGTCCCACGGACCCGGACCAGGATCGACAAGTGGCTCAAACACCAACTGCCTGCTGGCTTTCAGACTCCCGGAGCACTGCGTGCTAACAGCTGGCAGCAGATGGTCCTACAGGTGATGCGGGAGTGAAGCCAGGGGCGTTGTGTAAAACGGACAATCACAAGCAGCCTCAATAAATAAAAGTAAAATAGAGGTAAAGCAGCAGCAAATACACTATTACACAGACAGGCACGGAGTATTATATAGACACACAGACGCTGGAGTATACCGTAAGGCAGACACACTGAGTATTACGCAGACAGACACTAAAGTATTATATGCAGACACTGAGTAAACAGGCATAAGTTAAGCAAACGCATAAGTAAAACAATCTCCCGTCTTACGCCGTCATTCCTCGGTGACTCATGCAGTTTCGTGATCAGTTACAGTGTTTCTGAGTTTCAGCCTTTCGGGCTCCGCGTAATCCAGACCAGACCCGCACACACACTTCGTCTGCGCCGCGCCCAGCCGATCGGACCCTTCCGGACCGAACCGCTTCTCTCCGTGTGTCTCAGCCTCCGACGTCCCGTCGCGATCGCTTACGCGCGCCACGGCAGCCACTTTCCCCTTCCAGGGAGGTCCGGCCCACGGAGATCCCCCCACCCATGCCCGGCTGACATCAGCTGCACCCCACCCCCGACAGGACCGGCCGCGGCGGGGACTGGCTGCCGCACGCCTGAGCAAAAAGCGGGGCCACATCGAGCGGTGTTACCTGGCTCCCCCGTTGCTTAACGTTCCCTCGAAGGTGTACTCCTCCGGCACGACGACCATGTCGCGGCGGTTTGCTTCTCAAACACAACCGCCGAGGGTTCACCTTATAGCCCGACTTTCAACTCTCATTGCACTGGTGGTGGTTGCTGCGTCCACTGGCCGCCCCTTAGTGCTGTAAGGCGAAAAACAGCCGATCGCAACTGGCATTTCAAAGTGTATGAAGTGGATATGATCGCTGCCCTATCTGTGATATTATCAGTTTAACTTGCTTGTAACGCGGAGATGGTAACTGCCCTGCTTGTAATATTATTCTAATACGCGTTACATTGTATCATTATCATTTTAAAACGTTTGTGACATTGTAACATTATCATTTTAACACGTGTGTGACATTGTAACATTATCATTTTAACACGTGTGTGACATTGTGACAGTATCATTTATAAACATGTAGCATGTTAAACATTATCGGTGCTGTTGTGATCCATCGTACCTGGGTCCAAATGCACGTCCGGGCGCTCCCACTCCACGATCTTCGCAGTAAAAACTTTATTTCTTTGAGTATCGACCAGTAACAAACAAAACAAAACGGAAGCAAACTTGTAGGCTAAATGATTATAGTTGACGGCGAGCTCGGGATGTCGGCGCGCTGCGCCTGGTTTGGTTACTGTTAAACATCTCGAAGCTCAGCTGCCTCTCAAATAGCAGCTTTCGTTTTGTACCCGGGCTCTTTTAAAACGTGACTCACACAACTTGACTCTATTTTTCGCTGTTTTATAATGACAAGTTTAGGTTTTGCCCAAAACGACTCGAAAGTATCAAAATACACATGCGCGCGCACATACGCAATCTCTCTCACACACACACTTGTGTTGTATATCGATTAAGAGTTTTTAGTTACAACCGCGATTTGCTTGTAACTAATCACGATCAAGCGCACATATATTCTATTTTAAAACACGTGTCTATGTAGATTCTTTATAATTAAAGTTAGATCAATTCTTTAAGTATAAAAGACTCGTTTAACAATAATTCTTCCGATTTTGGTGTGATTCGCAAGGTTGCCAACTGACGCATCTGACGTGACACTCACGCTTTCAGACTCACGCTCACGCAAGAAATCTTACGGCGAATGTATATGATTCCCATTATAAACGTAAAATGTGCTACATCAAAACCGTTTGGGTATTTTACGGACTATTTACTAGTTAATAAAACTGTTACAAAGATAAATGTGTGTGCAGACTTGTGTCGAATTGAAAATGTCGCTCCAGCCAGATGACCATAGTTTGCAACCCAGAATCGTGTCATTAGATGGGTTGGTAACACATACAAACACACAGATAGACAGACAGACAGACAGATCGATAGATAGATAAACTTTAATAATCCCAGAGGGAAATTCTAATTTCTAGTAGCTCCATACCACAGTGGTATAAACATAAACGGCAGACAAAAACACACAGAACAAGGACATACATTAAAATTATAACTAAGCTACTGCCTATTATAAAAGGGTCAAAGTAAAAATAAATAAGTAAAAAGATAGCCTTAGTATGACCCTACACTAAGGGGGATTACTGACCCACCATGCATGGTATTATAAATTAGTCATACTATTATGATCATGCATGGGGGCTGACATCCTCCAAAATGGCCAGCAGCTAATTCAATGTCCTTTTTCCAGGCATTGTTACCAGGTTGTCCAGCGCCATGCCAACCACAGAGCTGCCCGTCTGATCGGTTTGTCCAGCCGCGAAGTGTCCCTGTTCATTGAACTGCCCCCCCAGCATAGAACAGCACACTGGCAATCACTGTTTGGTAAAACATCATCAGTAGTTTACTGCAGATGTTGAATGATCGCAGCCTTCTCAGGAAATACAGCCAGCTCTGGGTCTTCTTGTACAGAAGGTCGGTGTTGTCTGCCCAGTCCAGCTTGTCATCCAGCAGCAGTCCGAGGTACTTGTAGCTGCCTACTACCTCTATGTGCCCCCCCAATCTGGACTGGCTGAGGGCATGGTCTAGACTTCCTGTAGTCTATGACGAGCTCTTTGGTTTTGTTAGTGTTGAGCCGCAGGTGGTTCAAAGCTGCATGAGCCAATCGAGGAATCAGGGAAGACATTTATTAGCTAAGCCTACATCGCCAGCTCCTCTTTCGTGCTTGCGAGCAGGTACACTTCCAAAATGAAAAGCGACATGGAGAGAAGCGGTCCTGCGTGCTTGCCTGAGCGGGAGCTTTGGCTAAGCCGCTCTGCTAACGGAATCCCTTCGGCCGCATTCCAGGCGCGGCTCTCCTCGCCGCAGCGCTAGCGGAGGTTTGTGCTTCGGGCTGCTCTGAAGTCCCGAGCCGTGCCGCTGCGGAATTCAGGTCAAAGTGGAAGTTCTGCATCCATTAAGGGCAACAGGATTATCCCTGTTCCTCGCTATTACTGCTCACTGATAGACATGTCTGATTTTAAAAACGCTGCCATAGGTCCAAGATTAAAGCGGTTAATTCTCAAATGTGCAGTGTCTATACAATTAAATTAATAGTCGTTCACTCCTCCAGATGCTCCAAAAAAAAAAGAAAACGAAAACAAAACAATCGCGCAGTGTGTGTGTGTATTTATATGTATTATGTCTGTATGTATAACATACATGGAGGAATCACTGTAGCTCAGTCAGCTTCAGAGGTAGTTAGGGGTTTGAACGCAGTGTCGGTGCGTTGGCTGTGGAGGGTACACACTCCCCTGTGTTGCCCAGGTTTCGTCCCCAAGACCAAAGACATGCAGCTGGATGAACCATCGCCACAAACCTGCCCCCACTTCAGTGTGTCTGCTTTGCCTGTCGCCCCTTGCTTTGTGCCCTATGCTGTCTGCCATAAACTCCATGCCTGTGTCGCATAAACTGTTCCAAGGTGACTTTGAAGAATATATTCTGATAAAAAAAGGTTTCTGCTTATGTTTGGAGGCAGTTGATGGTGTAGGGATGGAGACATGGAGGTGGAGGCACTGCCGCAGTGACCTAGCCAGCTGCAGCTGGAACAAGAAGTGAAAAACAGCTGTAAGTGTCATTGCAGAAACCACATGGCGTGTCTAGGGTCACCAAGCTGACACGTCGAAAGGTCACAGCGGCATTCTGGCAGGTTTGAGCAGTTAGCTGATGAGCACGTCGATTCTGCTTTACAGCGGAGGCGTCTGGCCAATTAGGCACCAGCTTATTTGCATATGAACCACCCCCCACTCCCACAGAGACGGGGCTCTGAATGTGACCATGGTGCATACAGACTCACTGCTTTGTTCTGCTCTTTTGTTTAGCAAGATGCATCATTGTTTTCCATTTGAAAGGAAAAGTGCAGGCCTGAATCAACCATGAATGGGACTTAGCAGATTCTGAGCCCACAGAGAAGCTTCTGGAGTCATGATTGCATACAGGAGGAAGGTTGTAGAACACAGAATTAAAGCATAGTGTGGAGTGGGTCAGCTGACCCCCCCCCCCAAGCCACCTTAACATTGCGCAAATGTGCTACAGCAGGCCAAGCCACGCATAACATGCACTAACACAGATACCATCACATTTGCAGAGATTTGGTGAGGGATTGAATTAGCACAGATCATTATTAGCTCAGTGATTAAATCGGCAAAAGTATTTTTTTCTGGCAGTTTCAGAAGAGGGGAAAGCAAAGCTTCCAGTGTCCAGTGACAGCCCCAGAAGAGGGGAAAGCAAAGCTTCCAGTGTCCAGTGACAGCCCCAGTACGTAATCTGTAAATTATGCTAAATCCAAAGGACAGGGAGCAGAGATTCCCATTAAAGCCGCGAAAGAGGCACGGCTTGGAGGGCAGTGCATCCTGGCAGCGCAAGCTCACCATTCTTGGTCACAGCCACTTCGGGGCATTTCCGTCTTCCTGTTTGTCAGATCTGTCACTGTTTGTATCTGCTTATGGGTAGGTGGTGGAAAGAACAGCTACGCTAAAGGAAGTAGGACTTTGGCCAAGTTAATTTAAAGCCTTCCTTGGCATAGGCTGAACATCCCTTTCAGTGGCCTTTACTGTACTGACTAGATGTATTTTCTTTATACAAATAGCGCCCCCTAGTGTTTAGTCAGGACAACTGTATGTTTTTTTTTTTTTTTTTGCAGCAAACACTCATGTTTCAGGTCAAACTTAGGTTTCTCTCACTAACAATGTACTCGGTTGTTTACAGACACCTGAAAAAACTTTGTGTGTCCCTGGTATCCAGTACAACCAGACAATGGCAGTGATGGTCTCACCGTTTCAGCCTCTCTGCAAAAGGACGAAGCAATTTCAAAAATCAGTTTTTGTTAATTAGATTGGATTTGTTCAAATTGTCTAAATATAAGCTCGTTAATTAAAATGTTATGATGGTCATGCCTTGACATCAGATTGTCCCTAATTTTCAGAGGTCTGTCTCCGTGTGTGTGGATTCATGTCTCTCCCTCTGGCTCTGTGAGACTTGGACGGATCCTCAGTCCCTCCATCTGCTGGTCTTTTAAACATCACTTAAATTCTATTGCTGGAAACGTCGTGTAACCTTTACGTCAGCGTAACCGTGCCAGACAGCTGCTCACATTACAAACACAAACAAAGGCCCCAGACTCACTGGGCTTATTCTGTGGAAAGGTAAGCGGTGTATTAAACATGCAGCACTCTTCATATTTACTTTGAGAAACTGCATTTCACAAACTTGACATGATTACTTTAATGTTTAATTACATTCTTACATTATAAGGGCCTCACTGAAACAGGTCTGATATCACCCCTTTTTATTTTTGAAGAATAAAACACAAAATGTCCCATTCAGATGGTAGCAGGCTGTAAATCAATGCTTATTCAGCTATGAGAAGTTTCCTGTGTCTATTTACCTCATAATGAAATTTTTCTTTAAAAAAAATCAGTATACCATAGATTACTATGAGATTGTTTTGTCCCGATGTGTCTTTTGCTGTTAATGTATACGGATCAGGTTCAGCACATAAACACAGACTGAGAGAGACAGGCCTTATCTTACTGGATATGAATAAATGCAAAGGTTCTGATACCAGCTCGCCGTGGCACCATACAGAAGGTCGGCTTCTTGGTACAGAAGGTCGGTTCTCCTCAGGCGTGCGGAGCGCTGGGACCACGTGGACTCCATGTGCTGCACTGGGCACCGTGGCATTCACCTGGGTCCCAGCAAAGCGGGCAGTGGCTTTGCCGACAGGGGGTTCCGCTCGCCAGGATGCTTTTTGTTGGGATTTGATTCCTTTGCAGCAACTTTCAGGTAGAAGTGCAGCTATGGAGGGTGGGGAGGGCAGGTGGAGCAGGGCGGCTGTTTACGTACAGAGCAGCTTCTCATTCACACACAGGGCTAGAACAGCAGAAGCTCCACATGCTTTGGAGGTGGAATGAGGTTCTCTCACCTGTACGGCCTCAGCTGGGCCAACAGTCACCACATTCGTGGAGGGCTGGTACCGTGGAGCAGATGCTTTGACTGTGTAGGTTCCAGGTAGCAGCAGCCTGAAGTAGTCTCCACTGACACCTGCAGGACAGGAGGGGAACTGTCGGCACCACTACTTCCAGAACCACTGCTTCCAGCAGCACTGCTTCCAGCCTGATCATGCAGAGGTTACTGGGGCTCCAGCTGCCCTCACTGCCAGCCACAGATGATGGACGGAGGCCTTGTCAGGTGTACAGGATGGTTTGGTGAAAAATGTATTGACTAAGGACAGTTTGTGTGCTGGTGCACCTGGACTTGGAAGCGAAGGTGTGTTTTGCCAGCTCCTGCCTGCTGTCGGTAGGTCTGAGGTGCTACACTGTAGGCTTCGCCAAACAGTTCTCTAGAAGCTGATATTGGATGGACTATGCATCCTCCCTGGCCTACCTACTCACCGCTGGTGATGTCGTGGTTTATGCCCGACACAGAGATCACGGCTCCACCGATGGGGTTGTTGTTTTCATCGTAGACCATGCCTTTGATGCCGTGGTGGACCTGCACCCAGCAGACAGCATTAGATAAACGCTCAAGGCTTAGACCCAGGCTATAGCTGGTCAGCTCCAAGTCCAGAGAATCTAGTAGGATCGGGTCTAGTGAGCGATGAAAGTGCAACATCTTTGGCTCAAATATGCCACAGCAGCACCTGCATGTGCTTTTGTGTT